ATGAAATTTTTTTATTTTTATAGAGACTTTACTGTATGTTAAATATTTCTACTAGTTATTTTTCCATAACTATTTTAAATTTGATTGTTAATTAACTTAATAATTTTTTGATTTATTATTTTAATTTTAGATGGATTTTCTAAATTAATATTGGTTCCATATTATGGAGGATTAAATTTGATAATTAATTATTTTACTAAAAATGATATTTAAAAAGAATAAAAAATATTAATATAGTATAATAATTAATAATTTTTTAAAATTGTATGAAAAATAAAACAAAATGATGTAAGTATTTATTGAAAAATTAAAAAAAAAAAACGATGTTTTTAAAATATAGAAAGTATTTATAGAACTTCCTGTGTTCAGAAAGAGAGGAGTACAATTCTTACTATCCTAAATAATTTCTCCTCGTATTGCAAACGTCCTGTCATCAAAACTGTACCCCACCCCACATACCAGCATTTTGTCACTGGTCGTTGACCAACTTATTCACCATGGTCCCCACCCAGCACCATAAACACACACCCTCCGTTTTTTCTTCTTTATCGTATCAAATCCCTTGCCTCAAAACTGTTTCATTTTTTCTTTTGTTTTTTCAAGGAAGGTTTTTTCTTTTTTTCTTTTCTTTTTCCCCCTTGATATCTAATTCCACTCCTGCTTTGCTTTTTTGTACTCAAAGATACATCATTCCCACCCGCAAATGCACGAAACAGTGAACGGCGGTACAGCGCGTGGAGTGTTTTTATGTGAATTGTTTATTATTATCTTTTTCATTTTCCTTCTGTTTAATCACATCCTTTGTCTTGTCTGCAAAAGATAATTTTATATCAGACTAATTGCTCTTCATTTTCCCCAGCTATGTAGGAGCATTTAATGTCTATTTTTTTCAAATGGAAACTATTTTTTTTCATATCAAATAAACCATTCACTTAAGCATTTTTATATCCATAATTTTTTTTTTAATTTCAAATTGAACTCGAACTTGAAAAAAAAGAAAAGAAGAAGGCTAGTAAGATGAAAAAAAGAAAAAGAAAAGAGAATATCTCCGTGAATTAGATCTTTTATCGTATATTCATGAAATAATATCACAACATCCTCAACTATATAAATTCAAAAATCAATCATTAGCATCAATGGTTAATTTGTAAACAGTTGTCATTAATTTTTTATATTTTTTTGTACTTATGAATATTCATAAAAGAGTATTGCAGCATCCTTAAATATATTCAAATATATCAACCTTCAACGCTATAGAGTACTTTGTCTGTAAAGATTATAAATTTTAGTTATAATTAATTAAGTGTTCGACTAACAAAAAATTTACAGTCAATTTTAAATTTAAATTTAGTTCATTTGTCATAATATATATATAAATCATCAAGTTTTATAAAGTATTTTATGAATAGTAATCTAATTATAACATAATCCAATACTTTAACTATCATTATTATTATTATATATTATCATTTTATCATCGTTACCCTCCATCTCATCATCAAATCACCATTTCTATTTCTATTGTCACTGTTATTTTTATTATCACAACTACAGCCACAATATTTCTTTAATTATCATTTTAACTTGTCAAAAATTTAATATTTTTTATATGAAATATTTTGCTAGAAAACATATGTGTAAGTTTTCATTCGTAAAATATTTTAAGCAAAACCAATGCATTTAATTGTATTAGAATGATGGTAATATTTCGTGTATGAATAATTAAAGGAAATCATGTAGGAAATGGTCCTACTAATCTAGGTTGGAGGTGACTTATCATCAATTCATAACTATACTATGGACATTATGACCTAACTTTTATCGCTTGAAAGGGGAATTTTAATTGATTAAAGTTGCAGCTGATTGTTTGAATTATATCTTTCATACACACGCATAAATATGTGAATCATTATATATGCATATCACGTGAACAACTCAAATGGTCTCTCTTCATAACAATCACATTAAGTTATGCTTAACAATCCCAAAAAGAATGATCATTGTCAACCATAATTGCACTATTAATTATACCATATCAGAATCTTTAATTAAATACTATAGAAACACACACCATACTTAGTCAATAATCTTATCTCCAACAAAAACTTAAAACATTGACCCACATGATTTTGTACTTCGAGTACAATAATTTAGGGGTAGCTAGGTGGTCAACTTTCGCATTCTTCATGCTTTAAAGCATCAAATTGCTCTTTATGAGTGCCATTCATTTCATGCTAGCAAGCATTATGCATAAATCGAATGTTTTGTAGGCAATATAGCACATGAGCGGCGCGTGTATGATAAAAATAAAATAAAATAAAACCAATAGACAGTAAACATGCAGAGAGAGAGAGAGAGAGAGAGAGATGGGCGAGGCTTTCACACGCTTCGCGTGACATTATATGCTCCTTGTCGTTTTGCTTCAAAAATTCGCATCCACCAACAAACCCTTTGACTTGCAGCCAAAGGTAAGGAAAGAGAGAGATTTTCCCGCCTTCACATGCAAAATTCTTGTTTTTATTTACTTCTCTTTGAGTCTCTCTCTTCCTTTTAAATTTAATGAAAAGAATATTCAATTATTATATCTTGCTAGCTGCCTTTTTCTTCTTCTTCTTTTTTAAATAATGGATTAATTAATAAAGTGGGGTTTTTTTTACTCACTAGGAAAAAAAGCTCTCCACTTGCAACATGGTGCGACACTTCCCATATAATAAACCACTAATGATTAAATAAAAATAAATATTTATTAAGAATTATGCTAATCATACATACTTGTTTTATAAAATTCTCTTCTAAAAAACATTAGTTATTAAATTGATATTTTATGCATTAAATGAGTAGATTTTTTCAATAATCCTTAATTATAAATTCAGTTTTGATATTTTCTAATATTAAATTCTATAAATTACTTATGTATAATTAATAGTATTCATTTATTAAAAACCAATTACTTAATTAAGTTTTTAGGTTGCGTCAAAGGAGTTGATTGTTAGTTATTCTCTCGATTAATAAAATTTAGTTAAAAAGTGAGAGTAATTTAAAAAATTGCTCACTATTTTTTTTAATGGAGTTTGGATTACGACAAAAAAGAGCGAAGAGGAATTCGTGTCCTTTGACTCCTCAGATAAATATATCATGCCGAGACAAATATAACTTTCTCACTGTTGCTAGATTCAATCCAGGCCGTCCAAATCTGGATACTGTATGCTGACGTGGCAACGAAAGAAACGTGTCTAAGAGCTGCAGTGACGCAGATGTGTGATTGCCCTTTTTTTTCCGTTGTCTTTGGGCCTATAAAAGGTCAAAGGCACTATTTTTCCCTTTACATGGCCCGTATGGTTGCTTTTTCATGACAAAACTACCCTTGATTTTTTTGTCTCTACAATTTCGTTTTCTTCTCTATTTTCAAATAAAAGAAAACTGCAATTAGTTTTCAACTTAATTTCAATTAGATCGTTGTGTCTTCAATTATATCAAAGTGATTAGAAAATTAGGAATCAGTTCAGTCAATTTTTTTCTTCATTATTTTGACAAAAAAAGGGGTAAGTTGGACATTTTAACTAAAAACATTTAAGAGAGCTTTTTTCTTTTTTTTTTTTTTGTAAAAAAGTAAAGTAAAAATCTAAGTACTAGTCAAAATATACTCTAGAATAAGCATAAATATTTTATTTTTACAAATTAATTATGATTAATAAGAACCTATCCCGCCTATAATAACATTTTTTTTGTAATAATCATTTTTATTTATCTTATTTGTGAAGAATAAGAGTTTCTCTAGTTGATAAAACTCATTCATCTCTAATAAAAAAACAAACTGGAAACAACCCATGGTAATATTAATTTCACTTTCACAATGCAACCTAGCGTAAATTAGTTAACAATTTATCTATTTTACTTTATTTTATATATTATTACAATATCGTAATAATGATAAAGGATCATGCCGTGAAATTAAAAGTATTTTAAAATAAAATTAAACTTATACGTGAAGTAAAATTATTCTTTTTTTTTTTTTTAGTTTTAGGGAAGATATGATGAAAGTTTTCTAAAAATAAAAAATTAAGGACGAATACAAGATTTGATAAGTTTATGATGTAGCAGAATGAATATTACTCCATCGTTTTACTATTAAAATTTTCACTATAATATAGAATTTATCTACTCCTATGTAATGTTTAGCAATTTCCTTTTTTGACCTTGGTTAAACGAAGTAGTGTTGCTTGCTGAGCACTGATATTTCTCAAATCTAGTGGCATTTACTGAGATTGAATTAGTTGAAAAGTATCATAAATTGCCACATGTTCTCAGGGGCAGAATTGCCAATGTAATGCAATGCAAGCCAAAATTCTCACATTTTGGGCCCGGGCTTTTCCCAAAAACCAAGATCCCAAACTCAAGCACAGCTAAGAAGACAAAAACACCCCTCACTTTAAAAGAGACAACCCCACTCCATCCAAATCCAACCCAGCTAACTCATTTTCGTTGACTCACCCACTTTCCTTACCTTATAAATCCCCGCTTTCAATTCATCTTGAAAGCCAAAAACCCTTCCGCCCCAAAAAATGTCAAAAATAAGCAGTCTGGCACTTTGCCACGTGGCGTGCCAAAACTTGACCCCACATATTATCCTCTGGTCGCTTACCTGGACCCTACGTCTCCCACACAGCTAAAAATCGCCAGGTGTAACCGTCAACCAAAAAACAACAACTGCACCCAACAGATCACCAGAAACAGAAAAACAAATTTCAAATTCACTCCCTCAAAAACCACCCTCTCTTCCTTTAAAATCATAAAAAAAAAAAAAAACCAGAAAAGAAAAGAAAATCAAATAAACAAGTCTCCCCTCGCTCTCTATCTACACTTTAGTTACTTTCTCTTTCTCTTTGAAACTTGAAAAAGAGAGAGAGAGAAAGAGAGAGAGAGAAAACAAATTCAATTTTCTCTTTTATTTTCTCAGCTTCCAAACAGAGAGTGGAAGAGAGAGGAGACTATCAAATGTGATGGGAAGTGGAATCTCCACACTCTTCCCTTGCTTCAAACCTCCAAACAGCAATCAACAGGACTTGGTTTTCGCTGCTTCTGAGCCGTTAGATGAAACCCTAGGTCACTCATTCTGTTACGTCCGATCTTCTAACCGTTTTCTCTCTCCTACTCCCTCCGATCGCTTTGTCTCTCCTTCTCACTCCCTCCGTTTCTCCCCGACCCGGCCCGTACCCGAAACCGGTTTCAAGTCCATTTCCGGTGCTTCCGTTTCTGCCAATACTTCCACTCCTAGAACTGTCCTCCAACTTGACAATATTTACGACGATGCCACTGATATTATTAACTCTTCTAATAATACTGGCGGCTTTCTTACTTCTTCTACTGGAGGTGTAAGGGCTAATAATACTGGCAGTATTGTTAATAATGTGAATGGGTTTGAGAGCACGGCGTCGTTTAGTTCGTTGCCGTTACAGCCAGTGCCACGTGGAGGGGAGGGGTTTTTCTTGTCGGGTCCGATTGAGAGAGGCGCATTGTCGGGTCCGCTTGACCCGAATACGGGTGGAGCAACCGATGGGAGTGGCGGGCGGGTGCATTTCTCGGCTCCACTTGGTGGCATTTATGTAAAGAACAAGAAGAGGAGGGGGAAGGGTATTTCGGGGATTAAAAAAGCGATATATCGGAATATATCGGAGAAGAATCGGCCGTGGGTTGTTCCGGTGTTGAATTTCGTGAACCGGAGGGAGAATTCGGGGACAGGAGAGGAGAGAGAGGGGAGAGAAGAAGGGGATAGTGTGCAGTGGGCGCTAGGGAAGGCAGGAGAGGATAGGGTGCATGTGGTTGTATCGGAGGAGCACGGATGGTTGTTTGTTGGGATTTATGATGGGTTTAATGGACCTGACGCGCCAGAGTTCTTGATGGGGAATCTTTATAGAGCTGTTTTTAATGAACTTCAAGGTTTGTTTTGGGAGGTTGTTGAAGAGGAGCCTCAAGAGACTATTCATGTGGAGGGAATTGAAAGCAGAACTGGTCTCATTGTGGAAAAGAGTGGTGCAAGCGACGGGAAGGATCTCATTGTGAAAAGTGAGTGCAATTTGGTGTCAAAAACGGATCCATTAGAGGAAATTTGTGTTAAAAAGGATGGTGGTGGTTTAATTTGTGGAATGGAATCTAATGTGGTTAATCAGGATAGAGTGAAGAGGGTTTCGTTTCAACCAGAGGAGATGGAGGGGACAGCCAGTACCCGGAGGAGGAGATTATGGGAGTTTCTAGCGGAGGATGATCTGGAAGATGGGCTTGATCTTTCGGGGTCGGATAGGTTTGCGTTTTCTGTAGATGATGCGATTAGTGTAGGTAATGCAGGGTCAGCTGTTAGTAGAAGGTGGTTGTTGCTTTCGAAACTGAAACAAGGGTTGTCGAAACATAAGGAGAGGAAGTTGTTTCCGTGGAAATTTGGATTGGAGGGGAAGGAGAAGGTGGAAGTGGAGAGTAGTAAAGAAGAGGAAAGGGTTTTGAAGAGGAAATGGAAGGCAGGACCGGTTGACCATGAGTTGGTTTTGGGGGCATTGTCAAGGGCGTTAGAAGTGACTGAATTAGCATACCTGGATATGACAGATAAGGTGTTGGATACCAATCCGGAGTTGGCATTGATGGGTTCATGTTTGTTGGCTGTGTTGATGAGGGATGAAGATGTGTATGTGATGAATGTGGGTGACAGCAGGGCAATTGTTGCACAGCATGAGCCACAAGAAGTTGGTTCTAGTGTGAATGAAAATAAACTGAGCACAGAGGCAATAATCGAAACGAGGTTGACTGCATTGCAGCTATCTACCGATCACAGCACAAGCATTGAAGAAGTAAGTTTTCAATTCTGGTAAATCAAATTTACATTCTGGCTCGTATAGTTTTATTAGAATTAGTTTAATGCTTTTGTTATTACTGCTGACTATCTAGTTGTATAGAATTTTTGACTTTGAAATGGTAGTAATTCCTTTTTGGGCTGGCTTTGTCTGTTCATTAGTTTAATATTTTGCTTTTTCCTTGAACAATGGCTGGTGCTTAGAATCATTAAATACTGACATGGCTAATTGTATGTGCACTGGGACTTTTACTAGCATTTTGTCTCAATAAGCTTCAATAAGTTTTGTGCAGAGGTGTCTAGAAGTTCATTTTAAGATTATTTATTTATTTATTTGAGGTCCCCAAGCTTATCAATAAGTCACATCTGTTCCTCAGTGTGTTTGTGGAGTCTTTTAAATGCAGGACCGTATCCATATCCTACATGAGTCGCATGCATTTCTGTCGTTGTTTGCTTATTTCCTTGAGTATCTTAGTGACACCAATTCTCTTCTTGGAATTTGCTTATATGCCCAGTGTTAGACTTGGACACTTTGATGTGTTATGACTCTTTGGTTCCAGATTCATTACCTTTTTGACTCTCATCTTTCTAGTTTTTAGAGTTTGGTTTTAGAATTACAATAAAAGACTCAAGGGCATCTTTATTTGTCTTTTAAAACTAGCCTTTTTCCTCAAGCGCCTTGCACTAATGCTTAAACTTCCCAAAAAAAAAAAAAAAAAAAGAAGACATTTTATATTTTGATTTTGTAGCTCTGGATGTTGATTCTTTAATTACCAGACCTTGGGATATTAAAGCATGATGTCAGCAGCATTTATTGCTCTTCTGACCTTGGTTGTTGTATGAAAAGTATCAGAACTGATTTTTTTTTTCCTTTTTTTGTTCCATCATAGTTGTCTTAAAGTTTATGCTTTACTTTGACTTGTAGATTTTGGGTGTTGTCAAAAATTTCTTTATTCTTCAAATGGAAACATGATAGGTAAACAGTCTGAATTTCGACAATTGTATGCTACAGTTCCTCTTTTTTCTACTGCATGCTGAACAATTGCATCTTGCATTTGAAACTTTATATGACAATTAATTTGTTAGAACAAGTCTACCTTGTGTTGTCTCATGTTATGAAGTGGCATGCCACATACCCGTCACCTTTTCATTGTCCTTTTCCCTATTTTCCTGTTTGTTTTTTCATTTCTTCTTTTAGGATAGAAACAAGGGAGGTTCATGGAAGCTTCCTCATAAGTTTCATTTTCATAGCTGGTCAGTGTTTCGAATGTTGGATGCTTCCTTTGTCAACATCAGTTCAATTTGTTATTTTGTTTGCATTTGCTAGTATTTTCCAGGTGGTCGATTAATGTTGATCTTTGTCTGTTGCTTAAAATTAATTGCACAAATTACAATTTTTCCCTCCTCAAGCAGTTTTATCCAGGGCAGAAGATTTACTATAAATAGCAGTGTAGACATTTGAATTGGAACTTTCTTAGGTAGTCTAGTAGTAAACCTGTATCATATGTTTGTAGTTCTGGAGCATAGTCATATCTCAACAGGAGGTGATATAATACTTCAATCAAAGGTGCACAGTTAGCTATAAGCTCACCCTTCATAAATATAGAAGTTTGTCACATTAGTGACTGTTTTGCTGTTTTTGCCGTCTAGGGCAGTTGTTGCCGCCTTGCACTTTGGCAAATGGCTGCTTGCTAAAACTGAAAGATCTTATTCATCTACAGTCCATCAATATGTGCTCGGGGCATATATGTTCAATTGTTACATAGGTTGTAATTTATTAAAATATTTGTGTAATGCAATCATTTCCACTGGTGCAAATGCCCCGTTACATTTTCATGAGATATTGGTTTTTGCTAGTTTAGGCAACACATAACAATTTTTTCCGTCATTTTAAATTATTATCAAGACTTTTAAATACCTCAAATCTCTGTCTTCTCTGTCTGTTTTTACTGTCCTTTTAATTAAGAAGAAATTCTTCTGTAATAATTTGATGAAATTAAAGAGTTTGAATTGATAAAGAGGAAATTCTGTTGTAGAGAATTATTGATTTCTTATTGTCATCACCATGTATGGAGGCCATTAGAGTGATGGGTTCTAATGGTAAGTACCAAGGTTTGTTTGCAACTTCCAAATCAGCCAGCAGGGATACATGTTTATGTCTTGAAGACATACTTCTATGGCAATAATTGATGCCTTTAACCTCATATGAAAGCTTGAGAGCCTTGCTATTTAGCATAGAGAATTAAGTATTTGAAATTCCTTGCAATGACTTGGCAGCTGTGCTTGAACCACATGATTATTTTATCTCTGTCTTGGTCTGGAAGGATTATAGTATGTTTCCTCTATTTCCAATACTTTTATATGATGGTAGCATGAAGATTTGCTGCTTATATATTTGCTCAAATTATGCAGGAAGTGATTAGAATCAAGAACGAGCACCCAGATGACAACCAGTGTATTGTGAATGACAGGGTGAAAGGTCGTCTGAAGGTTACCAGAGCGTTTGGGGCAGGATTTCTGAAAAGGGTATTTGAAATAAACCTTTAATGTAGATATTCTTCTCTTAGTTGAGGATTTGGTGTTATTGATACTTATTGACACACATAACAATTTATGTTGGCATAGCCCAAGTTGAATGATGCCTTGCTGGAAATGTTCCGAAATGAGTATATCGGCACCGCACCATACATATCCTGTTCACCTTCTCTTCATCACCACCAACTGTGTCCAAGAGATCAATTTCTAGTCCTCTCATCTGATGGATTATATCAGTATCTGACCAATCAGGAAGTGGTTTCTCATGTTGAGAGTTTCATGGAGAAGTTTCCAGATGGAGACCCTGCACAGCAACTGATAGAGGAGCTTCTTTTCGCGCAGCCAAGAAAGCTGGTAAACTTATTTATCTTTTTCTTCAGGTTTATATCAATTGCTTGATATCAAATCCACTTTTGCTTGAATATAATGTGCATAAACATTTCAGTTTCCCAGAAAGCCTAGTAACGAAATGTAGGGTTGATGATTTGGGGCATTCTGTCATTTTCGTTGGCCCCTCACTTTCATTACATCGATGTGGATTGCCTCGCAAAATAGCAATAGAGCTTTTCCAGACATTTCAAATTCGTGGTCTAATTAGGCAACATCTTGCTTCAAACATAGGAGTTGCAAAGAGTAAAATTTGGGAAAAAGAGTCAATTGTATGGATTAAATACTTCAGGAGGTTATGCAGGGACATCCTGTATTGTTGAATAGAGGGCCTGCTCTGCACAGATTAGGCATAAAGGCATTCCAACCCATTTTGGTGGATGCTGCCACATAATTAAAAACTTCTATATAGTAATATGGAAGGTGATATTTCATAGCTATTTCTGCTGTCCCACTTATGTGATTCCGCAAATTTGTGAAGCAGATGTTAAATCAACTATACCTTTTTCTAGTAACCAACCTAAACTCTCCATGCTTTCCTGTTCTGCGCTATGGAACCTTGTTTTTTTGGTCCTAAGGTCACTTTCTGCCTTATAAAATTGCTGCACTGAAGCAGACATCAAAGCAATAGATGGGCATCATTGGTTTCTTATTTTGCCTATTAGGTTACTTCTGTTGTTAGATTGATTTTTGATCGTTATGTGATTGCAAATGATATGCTGCAACTTGGGTCTTCAAGGGTAGTCTGGTTGTCTCCTATTCTTGTTTTCTTTTTGTTTTTTCCTTTTAATCTATCAAAAATCAAAGTTTTTTATTAGATGCAAGCTATTTCTGGGGATTTATTTTGAACATTGTTTATTCATGTAGCACAAATAAGACTGGTGCATTCTATTCTTCATGTTCATCATAGTTTGGCTTTCTAGTTGATTCATATATAGTAATTTCTAATTGTTCGAGCAGTGCTGATTTTCATCCACATCGTCCTCTGTGGATTGTCTGCAGGGATGGATTTCCATGAACTACTGGACATCCCGCAAGGAGATCGCAGAAAGTACCATGATGATGTTACTGTTATGGTGATATCACTTGAAGGAAGAATCTGGAAATCATCAGGAAAGTACCTTTAAAAGTCTTTCGTACATTGGGCAATATCTCAACGGCTGATGACCTTTCTACACTTTGGGATGCAGTTTCAATTCTCAAGTCACTTTTTTTGTTTTTGCAAGCAGTTTAGAGAGTTTCGATGCTGACCCATTTTTCATGGGTCATAGAACTTTTCTTGGGGTGGTATACGGTTAACAGGGGTAAAGTCCAAATGATACGGGCAAATACTAATGCTAGGTAGCTGTCAATAGCTCGGTAGATGTCCTGAGGATGAAAAGAAATCAGGCAAAAGAATGGATTGGGGTTAGCAAATGCGCTAGGAATTAAAAGAAAAAAAAAAAAAATCCTTTTCCTTTTTCATTTAGGCAGATGTTTGCATAGGTGGAGGTTCTCTCTATTCATAGTGGCCTTAATTTTTCCTTCTTTTCATTTTTTCATTTCTTTTTTTTTTTTTTTTTAGAGCAAAAAGAAGGGGGAAAAATGTTGTAATTTGGTGGGGGTATACTGAACTAGAGAATGTCTTAGTTAAAGGTGAGCTCTGTAATTTTTGAAGGTGGATTTCCACCATTGCGGTTTAAAAGAAATGGAGTTTTCTTCTCATTCCTTGTGTTGGAATTTATCTTCTGTTGTACTATCAAATGGGTGCAGAATGCCATACTTACCAGCACCACTACCCTTAAGGGAGCCAAAAACTGTAACTACAGTATTAAATAGCAATTGACGAGGTGAGAACGTAATTCAATTTCTGCGGCTATGCATGGGCATGTGGTGGCTAGGGGATAATTTCTGATTGAGTCATCAAAGTTCGTGTAATTGGTAAGCGTTCAAAAAATACGTTCGGTTAGATTAACCCTATGTTTGGATAATTCCTCTTGGGAGGAAAGAAAAGAGAGGAAAGAAAGTGAGAGGAAAGAAAAGAGGGAAGAAAGAAAATTATTTTCCACTTGTTGTTTGGATAAGAGTGGAAAGGAAAGGAAAGGAAAGAAAATACATTTTCTTTGTTTGGAAAAGGAAGGAAAGAAAATGTATGATTGTATATTTACTATAATACCCTTGTGATTATATTTATATATTTAAATACTTATAATAAATTTGTATGAATATTTTGATAATGAAAATAACACAAATGATGATAAAAAAATCTAGCATGTAGCATATATCCGAATGATAAGATAGATAATGAATCGTCTTCATAGCATAACCGATAACTCGTTTATTAATCAATTAATCCAATAGCCAATTTATATTGATTACCAACATAAAATTAATTTAAATATGTATAACATGTATTATTAGCTATGCATATAATAAGTTAGTTGCTTTTACTCATCATTTCTCCGTTTTTTTTATAGAATAAACAATTACTATTAAGCAATTAAAAAAAAGAATATATTTTAACATTGCGAACAATAATCGAAAGTCAATTGAATCACGGAAAATGAGACAAATCACAAATAATTTTTATTTATTCTTTTCTTTTTCATTAACTCCAAAAAGTGTTCCAGGGGATGTCTTGAGGGATATTTTGTGTCTATTTTGGTGGTTTTGAATCTGGTATGGGGTTGTTTATGGAGCTTCTTTGGTGGTTCAAATAGCCTTTGCAAAGGGGTTGCTCTGTAACGGTTTTCGGGGGCTGTTGGTAACAGTTTTAGGTCTGAGTTTGGGGGCTTTTCGATAGGTGTTGGGTCTGTTTTGGGGGTTGGTTTTAGGCCTCATTTTTTATGGGTTTTGGGGGTTTTTTTGGGTTTTTTTGAAGCTGGTTTGGGGGTGTTTGTGGAGCTTCTTTGGTGGTTCAAATGGCCTTTCCGAAGGGGTTGCTCTGTAATAGTTTTCGGGGGCTGTTGGTAACAGTTTCAGGGCTGAGTTTGAGGGCTTTTCGATAGGTGTTGGGTCTGTTTTGCGGGTTGGTTTTAGGCCTCTTTTTTTATGGGTTTTGGGGTTTTTTTGGGTGGTTTTGAAGCTGGTTTGGGGGTGTTTGTGGAGCTTCTTTGGTGGTTTAAATGGCCTTTCCAAAGGGGTTTCTTTGTAATGGTTTTCGGGGGCTGTTGGTAACAGTTTCAGGGCTGAGTTTGGGGGCTTTTCGATAGGTGTTGGGTCTGTTTTGGGGGTTGGTTTTAGGCCTCGTTTTTTATGGGTTTTGGGGTTTTTTTGGGTGGTTTTGAAGCTGGTTTGGGGGTATTTGTGGAGCTTCTTTGGTGGTTCAAATGGCCTTTCCAAAGGGGTTGCTCTGTAACGGTTTTCGGGGGCTGTTGGTAACAGTTTCAGGGCTGAGTTTGGGGGCTTTTCGATAGGTGTTGAGTCTGTTTTGAGGGTTGGTTTTAGGCCTCGTTTTTTATGGGTTTTGGGGTTTTTTTGGGTGGTTTTGAAGCTGGTTTGGGGGTGTTCGTGGAGCTTCTTTGGTGGTTCAAATGGCCTTTCCAAAGGGGTTCCTCTGTAACAGTTTTCGAGAGCTATTTGTAACAGTTTCAGGGCTGAGTGTTAGGGCTTTTCGATCGGTGTTAGGTTTGTTTTGGGGATTGATTTGAGGCCTCGTTTTTAATGGGTTTAGGGGTTTTTTTTGGTGGTTTTGAAGCTGGTTTAGGGGTGTTTGTTGAGCTTCTTTGGTGGTTCAAATGGCATTTTCAAAGGGGTTGCTCTGTAACGGTTTTCGAGGATCGTTGGTAACAGTTTCGATTATCATTACGAATATCTATCCATTGCCATCCTTACGATTAACAATGTGTTCTGATTATCATTGTCACCCAAGTCATAAAGCACATAAAAAAATAAAATAAAATAGAAAAACTTAACTCCAATATAAACAAATAAAAATTAATTAACTTAACATAAAAATACTATAGTGTTACATTTTTTTTTTAAAAAAAATTCTACTTAAAATAGATTCCACCTCTTTATAGTTGGTTGTCAAATTAACTTGCATGTTTATTTTTTTATATACGTTTTTTTTCTATTGGATAATATTATTCCATGATATTAAATTCAAAATTATTAAAAGAAAATGCTGAAAATATTAAATAATAGTTTGTATGAAAATTTTGTTGATTTGTTTGTCCGTATAACATTTGCTCATTAAAAAACAAGTGCATACTTTAGTAATAAATTACGGTTGGTTAATAGTGATTCTAGTTTGATGTAAAATGAAATTCTATTGGGAAGCATAGATAAAGAGTTATATACAAGAGAAGACATTAATTTGCTTATATCATGAAAATGTAGAATAAGATACTTGGTAGAGTAAGAATTACGCCAGTCTTATAATGCATTTTGTGAATGATCTAAGTACAACGACTCGACTCTTGAATGTTATTCCCACTCCACTTATTGTCAAGCAAATAGGCATCACACTTTTTCACTTTGGGTTTCTTTGTCATGAAAGAAAAGAAAAAAAAGTCGTTTTTCTCTATTAGCTTGATCGGATATGCGGATTTCCTACCCGACAAGTTTCGGCACCAACCGAATGTTTTACTCTCCGAAACAAACGATAGCATTAACAACGACCTAGAATTCATGCTATACCACAATGTAGAGTACAAAAGAAATCAAAGAAAGGAATCCACACAAGCGAAGAAGCTAGTAAAGTGGAAAACAATTCACATAGAATATATATTTACCACGATCAATTAGGCAAATGGAACACCAAGGACTCGCGACTAGCAACAGCCCACTTAGGCACTAGCAGAGTGCATTAATAACATATAAAATCCACAATCTCATATCGAGTTATCGAGTATTATCAAAGATATAATTGCATGCTAACTCCGGTCGAAGAGAGTATGCTCGTACAACTAATTGTTTCTCCGACTCGAGCACATGCAGAATGGAAAGAAAGAGGTTCGGAATGTCCAAATAGAGAGCAACAGAGGCCAAAATATACTCATCATAAGAGAAGCGCTTAATCGAGTGGTCGGTGTCATAAACAATATATCCACAGAAAATCAAAGCACTAATTCCACCATAAACTGCAGTTGATGTTGAGCCAAATGGGAAGAACACCCGCATAATACGAGAACATCCATAACATCGGACCTATACACTCGGGTGAACAAATAATAGATTTGCGGGGCTCGGAAAATATATCCATCGCCGGATCACTTGACGAAAATGAGGCATCCGACCCGGATAAAACTAGTTAGGATAAGGATAATAAGGGCGAGTGAAGAGAATTGGTCCAAGGAAGCTAAAGTCCTTGCCCTTCTTAGAAGCCCGTAAAGTGTACGCAGTTAGAGAGCAAACCACAGTCGAGGTCGAATTAATGCCTCAAGCACGATTTTACCCGAAAGCATACGAAAGCACGACAATATTCACACGATAATTATAAAAGCCGCACATAAAGTAGCTAGCAAGCAACGAATTATTAGATGTCCAAACAGGATAAGATAAAGATACCGACCTTCTATATTAGCATAGCTTGCTCCAACCAAGAGGCTCGACGAAACCATGAAGAGGCCAAGAATGATCGGATTCACGGGGTGTTTCTGGTGATACACATGCAAGGGCCACAATATCGCATTTTTTTACACTTATTATTTAGAATAAAAGCACAAAATTTTCAAGAAACATTCAAATTCACAATCCTCTTGCAAGTGATTGAATTAAGCCAATGATCTATTAAATCATTTCAAACATAGGCTTTAAAAAGAAACCCGGAGGCTCCGATTCAAGTTCCAATTTTAACCCCAAGCCCCAAAATTTCAGATTAAATCAAGAAAAAAATACGCATATAAAAAAAAACAAACAAAAATACGGATCAAGAAAACATAAACCCAATTTCAAGTTTGAATCTTTAACCCCCCCAAAAAAATCCTAAAACATGGAATTTAAAGCAAATAAATAAATCAAGAAAGGAAAAAGAAAGAAGCAAAAGGAAAGGAGAGATCTCGAATTGTGAGTACTTACAAATAAAGGGCAAAATTGATAGAAGCAAAACGAACCCAAAACCGCCTCGAGGAGATCGGTCATGGGAGTATAAAGAACCGTAACAGCGGAGACGATCGTGGTGAGGACAAGCCGAGCAGCCAAGATGCCATAACCTTTGCGAATCAAGCCCCATCGTAATCGGTTCTCTCCAAGACTCAAACCCGGGTACAAAGTCTCTCCATTTCCCGCCTCCAAATCAATCTCCTTGCTTGCATCCTTGTTGCTAACGCTTGTGCAATCGTACATCTCTCGCTAAATTTATTTATTTATTATTTTTGTTCTCTCTCTCTCTCTTCTCTTGCCTTCGTTATTCTTTCCTTGGCGCCTCAATGGGAACTACCATTGGAAAATACCACTCGACATGGTCGCGCCAACTCCACCATTGCCTCCACCACCCTCGGCGCCTCGGTGGGTTTGCGGAGACGAGTTTCGGTGGCTGTTTTGGTAACGGATTCAACAAGAGAGAACGAGTGGATTTGGAGAGGCAGAGGCGCGATGGCCGAGCAATAGCGAGGAACGGCAGGCAAGGGCGAAACATGAGTTTCCTTCGTTTTGCGAGAGAAGGAGAGGAGTGGATTTGCGAAGTTCTATGATGGTCGTTGGTAAGCGAGAGCGAGAGTGTGTAGGGAAGAGGAAGAGAAGCGATGGTCGCCAAGGGTGAAACTCGGAAGGACAATGAGCTAATGCGTTTCCTTTCGTTTTTCTCCCCATTTCCTCCCAATTTTGGGAGGAAAATGGGTCCCACCTCTTTTAGCTTTGTTTAATATTTTTTTTTCTTTCCTCGGCTTTCTTCGCAAGCCAAACGGAGGAAACCTTTTCTTTCCTCTCCCTCACTTTCTACCCTATCCAAACGAGAGGGTAAGAGAGAAGAAAAAGAAAAAAAAAGTTCATTGTAGCCATCTTATCTTGGCCTTTTTTATAGTTACTTGAAGGCCTTGTAATTAAAGTTGTAAATCGATCGGATTTTGATTTGAATTTAATATAATCATATGAATCGATAAATGTTGTAAATGGATCGCATTTTGATTCGAATGTGATATAATTAAATGGATTTGATAAATATTTTTCTATTCGCATTTGATTATAATTAAAATCCATAATTATTTATTAAATGGATCAAATTCGGATCTATTTTGATCCAATATGATAATAATTCAATTTGAAATTAAAAATAATATTTTTAAAATATTAAAATTTAAATATAAAATTAAGTTAAAATTTAGAGTTTATTGCATATAAAGTGCAAATATTCTTTTGTAGTGATGATCTGTGTTTTTAAAAAATTACATAAATTTTGTCATTTCCTTAATTTAATTTTGTGGAAAAAAAAATTATAAATCGACTTAAGATGAAGTAAAAATTATTTATTATTATTTTTTAATTGGCTTATTATATCATAAAATCATAAAAACTTTACACTTTTTAATTATTTTGGTACATTTTTTTGAAAAATGGATAAGAAATATATAAACCAACCTTTCGATAACCATATTAGCGTGGGAGTTGTTTTCAATCAAAATTCTAAGTTCATATGATGTGACATGACGTGTAGAATGTCACCATGAATTACAATCCACATAAGATGACACATGGCTAAAAAATTAAAATTGAGGCTATTTCAACAACATGTTGCTTACTAATCCTCGGTTAATTTCAAAAACAAATTCTCCAAATCAAATCATAAAATCCATAAAATTTTATTTTTATATTTTTGTGATGAAAAAACGATATTACTAGGATTGTTGTGGAAATTGAAAACAACAATCGTTACTTGTCTATAAACTTGAACAACTTGAAGAATTTATAGATGACGCACAATTAAAAGCGTACTTTAAGCTAAACTCAAATCTCAATTTCAACTATAGAACTCGTTCTTTACTTTGATCACCCAATCTTATTTCACTCTCTAAAAATCAATCCCAAGTTACTCTACCATTTTCTCCAACCCATTCAATCCATTGTTTTTTCTCATCTCCCATATTTCTAATACTTAATGTCATGCTTGAATTCAATCCATAAACAATTGCCCATCGGTTCCATCCTCTCTTTAGTGAAAAGTCAAATATGCAAATCTAAATATTTTGAGCATATAATAAGTGCACCAGATCATGACTTGAGGAAGACACTTGATTGCATTCTTGTATTAATGGCGGTGATAGTTGTTTGTAACAATGGTGGTGGTGTGGGACCTGGTTTGGTTTTGTCTTTCTTAATTTCATCTTAAAACTTGATTAAATATTTGGGTGATGAAAGAGCAAGAAGAATGAAGAGAGGGTTCAAGGGTTTGAATCTTCAACTATTATGAATTTTGAATTTTTGCATTTTTTATTACGCAATGGTGTATTTTATAAATAATAATAATTTTAATAATAATAATAATAATTTTAATAATAAACACTTCCTTTTCACTCTATATTGTTGAATATTCCACACAATTTTATCGATTTTTGATAGCAAAGGAAGGTAGGCAACATGTCATTTGAACCACCTCAATTTTAATTTTTTTGACCAAGTATCATCCTATGTGGATCGTAATCCATGGTGATATCTTACATGTTATGTCACATCATATGAACTCAAAATTTTGGATGGCAAACACCTTTCGAGCTAATATGATTATCAAAAATTTAGTTCATGCATGTTCCATCTATTTTTAAAAGAACGTGCCGAAATTATTAAAATGTGTAAAGTTAATGATTTTATGATATAATAAGCCCTTTTAATTTTATCATACTTCCTACCTAATTCAAAATAAACTTTTATTAAGATTATTTGGTTTTATGTTTTTAAATTGTGTGACATTTTAAATTTTCTATAAAATTGATAGATAAAATATTATCTTAATATATTTTATTATATACGTAGTGGTTGAAATTGTTAGTGTAAGTGCTCAAGATCCAACCTTAATTAGATGGTTTGACTTATTGTAATATTGCATTCTTTATTAATAAAAATAAGTCTTTTTATTAATTCCGGTTGTTTATATTTATTGATAGAATTAGATAGAAGTTCATATGATGTGCATTACATTAACTATTGATCAAAGGATATGAGACAAATATTAAGAATGAATATTGACTATATGTGGTAAGACTTATGAGTGGTGTGTGCTCATGCTATAAGATAGCAGTAGAAGATCTCACACCTATTGATATGGTAATACCAAAGCAAACACTTAGGTGATTAATGTTAGAGAACATATCACTAGACTTCTTGATTCGTCATGAGAACTCATTTGGTTTAGTGTATGAAAATCTCATACGATATGGGTACAACTAGTCCTTTGACTTAAAGTAATCATGGTTATCTTATTAGAAGATTTATGTACTTTGACACTAGTTTCGATAGACTCGATAAAGAGTTGCATGTGGGTGATTCGTTGGGTGCACTAGGAATCTAATGGAGATAGGTGGATGGTTAAAATATGACATGTCATTTTTTGTATGTTAAAGGAGTTATTTCATTGCACTTCGATAAGTGCTACTCAAGGAATCCGAGGCCACGGTAGGAGTACACCAATAGAGTATAATTGATTTATTCTAGAGCTAAGACATTTGGAAATTGAAAAAAAACTTATGTGATTATAATCAAATAGACTATAAATTAAGTTCGAGATCACACTCGTGATAAATTGATGCGAGGAATGAATTGTATGGTAACCATGCTCGTGAAAGGTAATTACAGATTAATTAATCATTCTAGAGAATGGGGTAGTCATGATACCTTTCTAGAGGCTAATCTTAATTTATGTATCAAGAGATAAATGATGTGTCTTTTATTCTTGATACATTGCTAACATATCTAGGAACCTATTGAGTCACACGTTTAATTTTAAGCATTCACATAATAAAAAAGAAGGAAAGATTTTGGAAAAAGTTTATAGTTTTGAAAGTTTTCTATTTTGGAAAAGGTTTTGAAAAGTTTTTCAAAAATGAAAAGTTTCTTGTTTTGGAAAAATTTTTCTAAAATGGAAAGTTCTCTATTTTAAAAATCAGTTTCCTAATTTAGAAGTGAGTTTCAAATTTAAATTAGTTTCCTAATTTAGGTTTAAGGGTAATTTGAAAAATTATTTCCTAATGTGAGTTTCCTAAAATATCTAATCCAATTTATTTAGATGGTCCAAATTAATTGATTATTAATTGGACCAAAAGAGTTTTGGCCAATAGGTTTAATTTAAAAGCCTAAAAATAAAAAAAAGCCCACATTTGGATGGTCCAAAGAGTTTGGTTATTAATTGGTTATCTAAGATATTTTGGTGAGAGAATAAATTTAAACCTTATTAGATAAGGATTATGGTTTATGAGGATAAAATCAAAAAAGCCCACATGCATTGCAACTCCTAATCCTTTGAGGACTAGGAAGCAATAACTTAGAGTCTTTTTTGGACTTTTTGCCACCACTTCCTTCTTATTAGAGGACAAAGAAATGCTCTCTCTATAAATAGAAGAGAGAGGTACGACAAAGAGGGCTAAGCAAAATGAGACACACGATATAGAGAAAAATAAGGAGAAAATAGTTTTCTCTTCCTTAAAAATCACACCAACTCTTTCCCTCTCTCCTAAGATTGTCACAAAATATGTAGAAATAGATTTTTAAAAAGAAATATTAAATAAGTTAGAAAAAGTGGAGCTAACACTCGCAACTTCGAGTGCTTTTTGTGTGGGTACTTGGATCTGCGTGAATTATCGATAGAGGTCGAACACTTGGATAACTCGTTTTCTACAAAGGCTAGATCCGGGCTATAAGAGATAATCCTTTACTTATGCTTTAATTTATGTATGTATGATTAGTTAATTCAACGGCTTGATCTTGGGAGTTTTAGATGGAGGAACCAAAGGAGCGAGTGGACAAATAAGAAATCCCAAATGGAAGGGAGTGGACATGGGAAGCAAGCCAATCCGCTACACGATTGGCCTCCCTAAAAACATGAGACATACGGACTATTCAAGCTATTTGGAGTAGCTTGCGAATATTGTGAATTAGTTGATAATGAATTCCTTGACTACCATCACCGAAATACAACAACCGAATTGCCTTTATGAATTTAGTTTCTAATTGAACTTGTTTGAAGCTCGGATTGCCCGGATTTAACGTTAACTCTAAACCAATAAGGATGCATTATAACTTTGCAGCCACAACAGAGCATATTCCTATGTGATAAGAGAAACCATGCAACCAAATACCTACATCATCACGAATGAGCCCTCACGTTGTAAAAATGCCAACTAAATTATGGAGTGCACCATTAGTATTAAGTTTAATCCGGCTTGATTAAGGCTTGAGTCAACCAATAAGAGTTGGTTGAAATATATTTTATATTCAAGCGATATATTAAATGTAGTAAATATAATTTTTTTTAACAAAAATCAAGTTATAAATCCGATAAAGCTCGAATTTAATCCGAGTATGTTAAGATTCGGATCCAAATTTACATTTTCAAAATTCAATTTGAATTCATAAAATTCGATCCGATCCTTTCATTAAATAAACCGAATCTTAATCTACTATGATTTGATCCGAGTTTGACCGATTGATATCTCTACTTGTAACTATAATGCCTTCAAGTCACATCATATTCTGCTTTAAAATTTATTTTTATGATTTCATAAATTAACCGATTACTCTATAGTTGTGTTACTTATATAATATAGCGCAATTGCGATTTAATAAGTATAATCATCTTGAAAAAAATAAAACATATTATTCAATCCGAAACATTACAAACTGTAAAAAATTTTTCTTTATCATTTCATGTAATTATGATAATTAGGAATGATGCTATAATTTCGACAAAACAGTAATTATTTTGTACGAGAATTTTTTTTAAAAAAATCAGTTTTATATCGAGTACATTTACCGTAAATTTCAGCTTGGAAATTGTAATGCCTCCAAATAACCAAAGGTCTATAGTCAACATAATCTCCTTTTTTTTTTTCTTATTCTTTTTTTGAGAAATAACAAACACCATATTTATATTTAAAATCGTTTTTTGGACAATCATAAACATCCAAAATAATTCAAACAAAAGCAGCAGCAGGATGGCGCATTCTATTTCTTAGTTTCAAAGCAAAGAAATAATATTTGCTATTTTCATGAGGCTAATGGCTACAAACCAAAGACAAATTTAACGCATCTGTAGTTACATTTTGGTTCATCTTTTATGCTACAACAGAGGACGGAATCCTCGATTGCAACCAAGTTACTAAATCCTCCCGCGTTGCCACGAAATGACCAGCCCTTTCTTCACTCTGCCTAAATGGAGCTGCAAGTTTCTTCACATGGGAATCAAAGGAATTGGCTAGTCCTTGAGAGAACTTGTGAGTTCCTGTACCAGTGTGAGCTGAAAATAACTCGGGCAATTCTTCATTTCGCTGCACGAATTTGGTCAAAGTCCCCATCCACTCTTCAAGTGCAGTGTGAGCTGCACCAACAGACAGCGAGCGGACATCCAAACTCCACTCTTTTACAGTTTTGTGGTGTAAATCTGGGTACAATCCATAAAGGGTTCCCAGATAGAGCAACTCATGTGCTCTTCCGTGAAGATCTCTCTTCCTACAGATATCAATTAAACAATTACAAAAGGGTCTTCTTGTTTCAATTGCGGCGTCACTGACAACAGCCCTAAACTCCTCTTTTAGAGTCTCAAAGCTAGTTTCTTCATCTTCAATCAATTTCACAAGGGCAACCAACTTTGGATTAGCTTGCTGCAGACAAGCTAGGACCTTAGCTACATCCTCGCTCTCATCACATAGTGATGCAACAGAGAGCAAGCAACCGCAAAGCCTATCATCTAACTTAACCCCTCCATCAACCGCAACATTAAAAACCTTAACCAAATCATCAATTCTTCTAGCCTTCCCTAAGCACTGAACCAAACAAGTGCACCCCATTACATTAAGCCCAATACCCAACTTAGACATCTCTTCAAACAACTCCATCGACTTATCAGCATTCCCTCCACTCCCGTAAATATTCAGCATAGCAGTGAAAGTCCAACTATCTGGCCTGCATTTTTCTGATCTCTTCATATCCTCAAACAACATCTCAGCCTCCTCCACAAGGCCAACATCTGCGCACATATTCAACAACGTATTATACAAAATGAAATCCATTGGCCAGTTATTTGTCCTCATTCGTTCCCATAATTCCATTGCGTCTTTAGCCCACCTAGCCTTACCATAAATCTTAGCCAGTGCAGTTAATGTTTTCTCATTCGGGGTTAGCCCTGAGTCCACCATCTCCTCGAATAAACTTCTAGCCAAGCCAGGCTTCCCTGCCTTGCCCATTGCCTCCAATAATGTATTATACACAACCAAATTAGGCTGGACACCTAGAGACTTCATTTCTTGCAGAACATACCTAATGCCATCATAATCTCCAGCTTCACCAAACATCTTTGCCAATACAGAGAATGTAATAGGGTCGGGTTTCCACCCACTAGCTACCCCTCTCTCATACAAACTTAACACCTCTTCCACCTTGCCTAATTTAGCATAAACATCTAAAATAGCAGAATATGTGACTTCATCAGGCATCAATCCAGTTTTATACATTCTTTCAAACCATTCCACAGCCTTATCAAACCTACTGCATTTTTTAGCACAGGTAATAATAGTCGAGTAAGTGATGTTATCAAGCTGAATTTCATTGCTTACCATCTCATTTGCAAGCTCCTCAATGATATTAAACTGCAGCCCATACCTCAAAGACTTCATTGTGACATTGTAGAATATAGTTTCCATCGGGAACGAATTCTGAGTCTTGATCCAATTGAAGAAAAGATGAGCCTTTTGCCATGGTCTCAAGCTATTGAGTATCAAGAGAGCATTTTCTCTAGTTGGTGGGTATGGGATTGTCTCAAGAACAGACACAAACTCATCCTCACCAGAGCCACAATCATTTAGCTTCTTTGAAAAGAGTTTCAACTCTTTAATTTGAGGATTGTAAGAGTAAAGAGACCTCTTTTGCCTTTGAAGTGAAAGCACAGACCTTTTTGGTCTTGTGGGGTTGACCCATGTAGACTTGGGTTTGGACAAGAGTTGAGCTTGGTGGTCTTTGGAGGAGAGAGTGGTTGTGGAGAGAGGCTTGAGTTGGTCAGACAAAGAAGGGTTTTGGGGGCTGGGTGATTCTGAGAGATTTTGTGGTGGTTGTGTAGAGGATGATGTTTTCGAGGTGGAAGAATTGCAAGAAATGGTGAACCTTTTCTTGGTGGGGTTTTGCCTGATTGGTGAAGTGAAGAAAATGGGCCTCTTTGTATCTGATTGTGGTATTGTAAAATGGACATCTAAAGCTGTAGAAAGACTAGCAGCCATTACCAAGACACAGAGAGCACTCCCTGGATGAAGAAAATATCTCTGTTATCTACCAGTTGGAGGGAGAGATGTATTTGCCTCTTTCTTGATATTTTGGACACCTTATCTAAATCTAGATGGATACTGAAGAACGAAGAGGGGAGAAACCCTATATAAGTTGGGTTTTCCCGTTCTTTTCAAGAGGAAATTTTCGCGCAAAAACGAAATAAAAATAAAAAAGAAAAAAATTGGTTATAGATCCACCTATAAGGTGGGTAGCCTTAACCATATGTGTGGTAACAGGGAAGCCCGAAGGCTGTTCCCGTCCCTGTCAGGGGAGATGCCAACCATCTCTCCTTTCTACGAACACAGAGATAGAAGCAACAAACACCTTTATAAAGTAAAAGCAAATGTGGTTAACTGAACGATGTGGGATATTCTGAAAAGGTTGCGTTTTTGGGCCTTGCATTTTGATGGGCTAAGTCCTATGTCATCGAAAATTGTTTTGGCGCAATTGTTGGAAGATATCAAAACTGCTGCCTCCAAGTATATTTCTTGTCTTCAGATTTCAGACACCAAAATTAGCTCTTGGTAAAATCATTAAAAATTGAAAAAAAAATTCTAAAGAAAAAATTTAAAATAATTATTTTTTTTTCAATTTTATAATAAAGAAAAATTTTAAAATATATATATAGACTTTTTTTTCAATTTTTATTATTTTATAATAATTATTAATAAATAAAAATTTTAAAAATATAAAAATATAAAGAAATTTATTTTCAAATTTTAATATTTTATAATAAATATTAATAAAGCAAAATTTTAACGAATTTATAATAATTATTAATAAAGACGATTTAGAAAAATAAATCTAAAGACAAGTTCTTTATTAAAACAATTAATAACCGTTATAAAATCATTAAAAATTTCTTTCGGGCTTTTTAGAAAAAATTCTTTAATAACAATTATTATCTATTCATTAAAAATAAATTTTATTTAGAATTTTTGGTCAATTTTTAATGTTTTATACTAATTATTAATTATTTTAACTTTTTAGAAAATAAAAAAACTTATTTAAAAAAAATTATATTTTTATTCTTAAATTAACATATGTTTTCACTTGATTCGCTAAACGTTAATTAACTAACAAAAATTGACCAATCTCATAGGAGAAAAAAAATAATAATAATAACAAAAGAGCTATTCTGCACCAGCGTTCAGTAGTACCATAATTGTTATGAAATGCGTCCGGAAGAAAGGGTGCAACATTCTTTTCAGTATAATACAGATTTTAACCCGTTCAATATTGTCTTAGGGACTAAAACTATGTTAAAGCAAAGCTAGATCTTGAGGGGTTGGGACTGGAAGTTATGAACATTTTGTCAAATAAAATTCCAGATGGTTTCCCTCTTCAACATTTTCATCTGTCTACAGTTTGCATAACCGCCGCAGTTCATAATCTTGACGATAGCAAAACCTAATAAAAAATAAAAAATAAATTATATTTTGATGGTATTACAAGACCCCCCTCACTGTTGCATACATATAAACCCAGTGGAGCTCTAACAGCTACTTGGTACAGGCCAAAATTTTACTCATATTTAATTTATCTTCGAGGGTTTGGGAATGAATATTTTGACAAATAAAATTCCAGATGGTTCCCCTCTTCAACATTTTCCTCTGCAAAACAATTCAACTCGTTTCGTCAAACACACAAGTTTGCTGAACATCCACAGCCCTTCAACGTGAGGATCCCTTGAAAGTGGAAGTCAGCAATTTTTCTTTGACATGACTCTCGACTTGCCTCCGCATAAAAGAATAAGGCAACCTCTCAATTACCTCAGCTCCAAATGAAAATACAAGAGCCTTTCGAGCTGTCTCTAAGTCAATGCCGCGTGCCTGAAAATAGAAGAGTTGGGTTTCTTCCAGATCACTTATTGCAGCTCCATGGGAGCACTTGACATCATCTGCAATAATTTGGAGATTGGGTTTGACATTCACAGTTGCACGTGGTTCAAGGAGGAGGCTCCTTGTTAATTGTCCTGCATTCGTCTGCTGTGCATATCTGCAGAACAGAAATATAGGTCTAAGAAAGGCATACACCAAGCAGGATTAACCACTGAGATGCTTTGTACTATGCTCTATCAGCGAGAAAGATGTACAAGATAACTAATAGAATGACATTAACCAAATTTTAGTATCTACTCTATTCTTTCCCAATGAAACGCAGTGAGCATTCCTTTGGAGTGTTGAATGTGGGTAATACTTAAAGTTTGTACCGTCATCTTTCCTTCTCAAGATGCATGTAAGACCAATTAGCAAAATGACACCACCAATAAGTTCTCATAACTGTTTTGAATACAAATGTCAAAAGAGCTTAACAAGCTTGCAGCGCCAATTTAGTGAAAGAAATTCCATAAAATAACTATATTTGAGTTGACAATGCATCCAAATTAGGTGCAATCATGTGAAACAGTCATAGCGGTTAATGCATCCTATTATTCGAGCCTAAACCGAAATGACAGGCACAGTAATCAGGTACCTACAATGCAAATGAATACAGGTTCAGGAATATCTGAACCTTGAGGACAGGCTCGGTAATGAGGCACCAGGAAGATACAGATTGGCTAAAAAGAGAAGCAAAAGCTATCACCGATACAACAACCACATATAATGGGACAAACAACATTACCTGTTGACCTTCACATTCCCATCAAAGACAGCTTGTCCTTGTGAATGCGCAACAATACACTTGTGAAGTTGCTGAGAATAACCTCTTGGATGGTCCAAGATTAGCCTACTATGTAAATCTTGTGTTTGATCACCAACAGACAAGTGAAAGGTCGATAACTCAGTTGCTGTATCTGGACCCAATTGCTGAACATGGAGATTGTGCCTACTCAATTTTCCCCCAGTGCTTACCTCTACAAGCTCATAGGTACTAGCTGCTTCCTGCAAAGGATCCACTTAAAGTCAGATTTATTGTAGCTGGATCAATTATAACCAGAAGATTGTTGAATAGACCCGAGAATTAAAGGTAAAATATGTACTGCCATTATCATAAAGTTGAGATTCCTGTATTGAATTAATAACTTATTATGAATAACTTCAGCACCATTTCCATAACCAAAAGGTGCCAACAGAAATATATCGGGCAAGAAATTAAAAAATGAAATCACAAGAGCTCAAGCAATTTACCAGTAAGAACCTGATTAATTTATAATTTCAAAGGCCATTGCCATCTCAAGTTTTGAGAAATTTTTTATTTTTTATTTTTACAAATTCCTGGAGACATTCCCAAATGATAGGCTTCATGATTCACATGCCAGAAAGCACTAAAAATGGAACAAACCAAATATGAGAAGCACAGGCATGAAACCCAAGCAAAGGAAGTAAACCAAAATAAAACCACCAAAATTGAGAAAAGAATAGCAAGTATTAACCGTCCAAATAAAATTTTATCTGAAAATCAAGGATATAAGTGAATATGAGGAAGATTTAAGACATTCCCATGTCTCATTCCAAAAGCACCATGTGAGAAACAAGAACACACAACCTATTCAAAATCGTCATTAACATGCAGCAATATTAAAAGCAAAATTAGGATTATGTGAAGAAATACACTTTAAATAACCTGCTATTTTTCACATCCCTTTTAACTAAGTGAGTTTCTAAGGTCAAGATGCATTACTCAATCACAAATTTAAGCACTCCGCAAGACAAGCCCTTCATTTTGAAAATCCATATTTGTGTTCTCAACCTAAATCTCATTGGCTTCACATAAACATAAAAGCGAGGGTTCCCATGAAACCAGCAATACTTTTATATATACCATAGATTTCAAAGGCTTACACCATCCTAAACACGTTTAAAGCCAACTCCATCCAACAGATTAAGATAATGCTCTAGGTTACCAGCAAGGGACAACCTAAAAAAAGCTCAAGGTCCATCCAATTTTGGTCTTCAAAACAACACAGATCAGCTCCAACTGACTTCATATTAACCCTTCAGATAAATTACATACTTCCATTGTTGATTGACACCAGATCACTCTAAATAATTATTAACGTAAAAGTCAAGTAGCAGTAAATTAATTTCCCTGTATAACTGATGCACATATAATATACAGGCCAATGGGAATCCAAATTTGCATCTAGAAAACTGGATTTACTAAGCCCATCAACTCTGCACTAAATACAACAACAGGATCCATAAATGAGATATGACTGAGTTTTATGCTGGCTGTCAACCTACTGCAACCGCAGTCCTTTTTCTGCACATCAACTCTGCATTAGATGAAGGACAAAAATCCATCCTTGTCAGTCAACCTGAATGTATACGAGCAGGTCTTAAGTTTCAGTTAATATCCACAATAATCTCTAGCGGATATATGCTGCCACCAAATTTTTTGGCAGAGTTTGAGTTTACTACAACCAAAATTATGAATATCAACTAAATTAATCAAGTGAACAGAAATACTCCAGAGAAGTAGATGCCAAAGGCCCCCGACTAATAATAACAATTCCCATTTTTGAAAAAGCAGGCTTCCTAATTGCCATTTATCCATCTTGTAAACACCTCAGGACAGATACTTCTCTCCTTTTTTATTTATTTATTTATTTATTTTTGAGGGGGTGGTTATTAAAGCAGAATGTGATGTACAGTTATAAAGAGAAGCAGGTACTAGATCCATCTGGTCAATAAAACATTCTCCAACAAAGCAAAGAGCATTTTCAATCCCACAGAAACTGCCTCAATGAGAAGTGAGCTATATTATAATCACTGGAATCATTTTATGACATGTTTGGGCAGGAGCAACTATCAGTTAAAATATTTAAGAGATAACGGATCTAAAATGCGAGAATGAAGCACAAAAATAATGGATGGTTTCCTTATGAAAGAACAGAAATAATCAATGCAAAAACCTCAGACCAATATCTGCCCTAACTCATATCACCGATGCTCAACATGAAATCAAGTCACTTCTCGTGGGTTAGGGTTGAGGGGATGCGTAGGGAGGAGCTTACCAGAAGATGAGGGTTACAAAAAAAAAAGAAAAAAGAAAAAGGAAATTGGTAAAGACTTTCTAAAGGAAGAAACTCTATAGAGATCTATCAGCTTCCTCGTACCAACGCAAAACTGTTTCTAGATTAATTGCTCAGTGAAGTCAAAATTAGTTCAATGAAATGCTTATACGTAATATCTCTCACAAGAACATATGTTAGCAAGAGACATCATTAGTTAATCAACTTTCCTTCAAAGGCAATCCTGCCTCCCATTACCCCTTGTCTCCTTATATAAAATTGAAAAGATAGCAGAGGTTTTCTCTTAAAACAGCCTTCATTCTATATCCTATCCTACAGCTGAATAAACAAATTGCAAAAAAGGAATGGTTAATTTGTCTTTGGAACAGCAAGGATGACTTTCATATAAAGAGAACTGATGCTTTATCTGAGGGCCCTGCTTTAGAATTTAGGAATAGCCAAATAGAGAATCTTATTTAGAGTCTCAAATTGAAGGCCATTAATTGAATTGCATTCTGGAAACACTCGGCCAAAAAAGCCAGAAAGCATAGCCAACTTCCTTAATTATGTCCTTATGTTCCAGATGAAACTTCACTACAGTATGTCAAAGTTTGCATTATTTAGTATCTCAAACCATCCAAAAAAGTGTAAGAACATAAAAAGCGGTAACCAAACAATAGATGGCTTCTAACAATTCCACTTACTAGATTTACATGATTGTTTGATTTATGAGGATCTTATTTTACTTGGTGTTCTATAAGAACCTTTCTTTAACTCGGCAGCATATGCAAGTGCAGTTGTGTTGAAACATGAACCATTTTATACAGCAATTTGATATATTAACGCGTGCATTAAGCTCATATCCTCCTCCAAATTAAGTATATCAAACATGACTATATTCTTCACATACTATGTTTAGTCAGATGCTAAACAAAAACAAGAAAGCAACAAATATGTACGCAGGAAAAAAAAAAAAGAATCCAGAAATAATTACCTGTCGCACTGCAGTCCACTTGATGTGAGCAGAATTCAAGGACTGGCTCTGCACGTAAGAATGCCTAACCTTTGCTCCTTTCCCAATCACCACTTCTAAAACAGGATTCGCCCAATGACACTTATCATCATTCCCTTCTTTACTCACAAACTCCTCAATTATCCCAACCTCTCCTCCCTCCTCCACCACTACAAACACCCTCGGATTCGAAACCGGCAACTTTTTAGACCCCTCCTCTCCTCCCTCAACTGAAACATACTTAAAATGGATTGGATTCTCCACTTTAACCCCAGCAGGAACATAAACCACTGTCATATCAGGAGCCCCTAATCCATTAATTGACCAAAACAAATCACCCCATTCAAAATCAGCAACAAACTCCAATACCCTTTTGGCAATTCTATCACTAGAATCACTCAACAAACTACCTACATAAACCCCATCAGGCAAAGTTGACAACTTTGACATAGAATTTAACACAAAGCCATCAGCAATAACAAGATAAGGCAAAAGGGCATCCCCATTATGGCTTGGTAAGTAATCTAATTGTGGTGGTTTTGTGATTGGAATGATTTGTGAATGCCTAATAAATGAAGTATCTGTGAACCTAAAGGGCTCATCTTTACGAGAAGGCCAAGAAGTAGAGAGAAGAGATTCAGAGGAAGAATCTCTGAGTTTCTGAAGAGAGGAAGAAGGAGAGACGGAGTCTTCAAGAATCTCAGCCAATTGAATAACAAAAGGGTCAGAGAAACTTGCTCGTGTTATTGGGGGAGTGGAGAAACTTTTGGGTTTTTGTTTCTGTTTGTGCTTGATTTTGGGTTTTATTCTAATGGGTGTGTGAATTTGACGAGTGAAAGCTAAAGCAGACATGGATGATGGTGTTTGGGGCTTCAAGTAACAAGACTAGAAGCTCAAATACGGACACACAAGAGACACAGTCGTTGGAACTCGAGACTAGGCTAGAATTTTAACTACTAAAAGTACCGTCTAACTTTTTTAAGAATCTCAATCAATATGCTTTGACTCCTAAATCAATCACTTTGTCCCCTGAGAAGTGGGAGACGGTGAAATCGAAGGTTCGGGGTTATGTTGAGGTAATAAGTTTTAAGTTCTGTATAAAGGCTTTACAGGTTATCCTTGACGATGACCCTAGATGATTAGGCGGGCTTAAGTTGTATTGAGGCCAGGGAATGGAGGAAAAGAAAGGGCCAAGCTCAATCTCCTTCTCTGTCGGTTCAGAATTACTTCCTTATCGAAAAATTAAGAAGGCAACCACAAAACAAATTGAAGCAATCAATTGCGATACATTTTAGATCCTTACATCCTTCTTTTTAACACTTAGCACTCCATTTCTTATGCTTTATGAACTAGCAGGTGGTTTAACAGTTGATAGACACGGATCAAACACATGATTTTGTCTTTTTTTTTCTTTTGTTATTACAAATTTTCCGTTGATTTCATAGTAAGGCTGACGAGTAAAATAATTTCAGTGTTTTGAATTTAGAATAACTTAAATCAAAGTATCAAAAAGCAAAAGGGAAGTAAAATGTAGATGAGATTGCAAAATAAAAACCTAGATTCTCATTGAAATTAATAAAAAGAATTAAAAATATATTCATGCAGGTTAGGCTTAGGTCGGATTTAGAAGTAGGCTTGAGGGTGGCCCATTTATTTCCCTCAGATATAAATGGTCAAGTCCAATTTTTCTGAATTTTGGGCTAGTCTGTTGGGCTCAGTAACATCTAACTGGGCTACTTTAGTGTGTGGCTTTCGTATCAGTTGACCAACTTCTCTTCCTCGATCAAGTGTAATCTTGGATCACCCTTTGTCCTCTCCTTAATCCTTTGTGTAATGAAATCAACACTACGCATGTGCAATAGTCGTTAACATATTCAAAAAGCTCTAAAACATTCTATGATTAAATATTACCACTTTAGAGAAGAAGGATATGTGATTTTCATTATTAAAATCATTGTCTCTTTGAAACCTTAGTAAAAATAATATAAGGTTCAAAATACAACAGTTGAATCCACTGCTAAGCTGATTACATGAATCTCTGGGTCAATATTCTCATATGAAACACAATCTTTACATTGCCTACTAATTACTATTAAATAATATTGTTAGTCTCTCCTCATGCAATTACATGTGGAATTAAGCTTACTTAGTCTACCACTTTATAAGATAAATACAGCCAAACGCCACTTTTTTGTCGCAACATGTCCCCTACGCGAACTCATACTTGTTGCTTGATTCAAATGTTAAGGTTTCTTTATAACATTATGAATGATGATTCATTGATTGACTTAAGACTATTGTAATGAGAAGAGAGGAGGAGGAATGCAAATCTCGTTTCTCTTATCTCCAATTTGCCAAATAGGGTTTTTGAGGCTGGCCCTTAATCCCTTTTCACATTTTCCAAAACATGAAATTAGCAGTACATTGCATAATCATAGATATCTATCTATCCATCTATAGTTAGATGCAGCCAACATGACTCAAAACTCGGCACCCACGCTCTCTTTATCAATCTTTAACAATAATTTTGGGGGATGCAGCCAAAATCATGAGTTGGAACTATTCCTTTATGATTATTACTCAATCTTAACGCCATCTCCAATATGCAATCTCACCCACTGATGTGGGAAAGTAACCTGTCCCATCTCTCTCGCTCCATCTCCGCCTCTACTACGTGGTCCTGGTTCTGGTCCGGGCCAAAATAGGAACGTCATTGCCACCCATTTCATAGCGATGGTCGTAGACGTGAACTTCTTCCTGCGTCTGCATCTGTAAAATGCGTTCTTATATTGATTCCAAGTTATATATATTGATACTGGGATTCAAAAAAATTGCCAATTACAGGGGATGATGGCCCTAATCATCCATACCTTAAAGGACTTTCGAGTATTGAAATCAAAACCCAGTTACTATAGTCACATTGAGAAGCAAATATTTTTCAGAAAACTTCAACTTACTATATAAACTAGGTACAAAGATATATATATAATTTAAGAGTTATGAAATATATTTCTAGGCAAGTTTTCATGCATTTTATGCCGAATCTGATTTCTTTTCCCATTGGATTTAGATAAGACATTCACATCCATATGAATATATTCATGATTTTATTTTTTATTTGTCATACGTTTTTTTTTTTTTTTCGATTCAAAACTGAACCCAATTAATATTTAACACTGGACAACAGCTAAAAAGCATCAATGAGATATGATAATTTTTTTGAAGGCATCTATGAAACCCAATATGGGTGTCTTTGTCCAGTGCAATAAATAACCTGTCGACATTTTGACTCCGCTCTTCCAAGCTTACAGAAGTCTTGAAGCGTTCATGACACAGGAGAGGTAGTGGTGTTAACGATGGTCCAAGGCACCAAGGGACAAAGGGGCCGAAAGCACTAGACAAACAATGACAAGGGAGATAAGGTGGTTTTCCCATTTTCCAACTCCCCATAAGAAATATCTAGGTGCCTTCTTAGTTTTTCCATCAACAATCAACAATCGTTCACTAGGTATGCTCAAGACTATTACCAAACTTTTATCTCTGCACTTCATTTCACATTTGATTTTATGGGGTTCTATATTGTAAACCACCTCATCAAAAGAGACTTTGATGACTCCTTTTTGGGTCAATTTGATTTTTGCGTTGAGCCTTTTTTGGACAAATTCTTTCATTTGTTATCATATGTTTTTTGCAAATGTTTTTCTTTGTACTTGGGAAAACTACTATTGCTACTCGAAAAGTGAGAAGTTAGTCAAATTAATATATAGATTTGAGAAGTTTACGAATGTAAATTTCAAAATTAATTGATAAAATGTAAGAGAAATATAAAGTAAGACTTTTGGTTGAATTTCAATTTTGCAAGTACTACTTAAATGAATTCAAGCAGAATTTCCTAAGCTGGTTACATCTTTGAAAAACAGAAAAGAAAGAGAACTCGTTAAACCCCAAACCAAAAAAGAAACAGGGATCCAGAAATTTCCCTTCCAATTCTGGAGTGAAACTGGTACTATATCACTTTTGACTTCCTATATGTATAGTTCCCTTGATTCTTGGTAATCTAATTGGATGGAGACTATTGTGTGTCCTTGAACCAAAAGATTGCCAATCTAAAGGTTGAATTGTATGGCCAAATGGAGTCAAGTTGACCAAAACATCCACATGGCTACAAAAAAATTTCCACGGCTGGAGTCTAAGAGGAGGGTAGAAATTGCGAAATCATATAAAGAGCTTTTTAGGTCTTCCATAAATTATTAGTAACTCCTTAATACTAGTTTACTGGTTGCAGGAAAAGATATATATACATAGGATAAGAACTTGCTAGTTATGATTCAAGTTTTCCTCTCACAATATGCAAGAACCTATTCTACTTTTTTGCATTTTTATGAATTACCAGTTAGTCCGCATGAATTGAAATCACATTAAACTGACTAGATATAACTCTAGAATTTATCTCACTTGCATCCAAAGAATATATAAATTTAAGTTTCTCGTCATTAAAAAAAAATATTGATAAACAAATTTGTAAAATAAGAATATGTTAAATCTAGATCAATTTAAGTTTCTCGTCTAATGCCTGCCCGTTATAGAGAAAGAGGTAAACATATTTTTCAATTTTTGGAAGATCAGTTGCTGCAGGATGGTAAAATTTGACTTTCCTTCCCGCAAATTAGAGGCTAATTCAAAATAAAAGATGCCATTCATTTATTCACATAGATACTCAAATAGGTTTTACAGGGTGTCAGCCCCACTTCTTTTCAAATTGATTTGATGCTATCTTATTTATTTATTTATTAAATCCTTGCGTTCTTCGTTTTAGATTGAAATAAAGCCCTTCGTTTAAACACCCTTGGTATGGATATTTATATAATATATTTTTATCAACGGATCAACTTGAATGTTTGACACTTGTCGTTAAGTAGCTAAGTAGTTCCTTAATAAAGATATCCCTCCTAAAAGGTACCAATTTATCAATTTTTTTCTAATAAGTATGTATTTTTTAATTTTTTTAATTGAATTATCTATTTTGTAATGTTTTTCTAATCGGATGTCTCCATTTACTTTCTATCAATTTTTTCTATTTTTTTTCCTACGTAGATGGTTAAAAAGACCCACGTTACATGTAACAATGATGTGGTGGCTAAGTATGAGACACATGGTTACCACGTGTAAATGACATGAAAAAATAAAAAAGACATTTCAATCCTTTCTCTCTCAAAATGCCATCGTCGTCTCTCTGTACTCCCTCCAACATAACCAAAAACCACCTCTCCCACGACCTTTCACCATCATACACATCTATTTTTGTTTGTGCTATGTTTAGGAAAGGCCTTTCTAACAGCAAGGGTGTGAGAGTTGAAAAATTTCCTCCCTCCATCCTTAGAACATAGAAGTTCGTTGGAAATACCAACTCATTAACTCGTACCAAAATGTCCTTAACTACACCTTCGGGGTAGGCAATAAATCTATCTGCTAATTGAATTATCATACTAGTTTTTTTTAGAGGTCTCAATTTTAAAATCACATAAGTGGAATATGGTATAACATTAATTGAGGCTCCTAAGTCTAACATTGCGTTTTTCAAATTTGGTGTTACTTATCACATAAGGAATAGTAAACATACCTGGATATTTACACTTCGGAGGAGTTTCCATTGAATAATTATCGACACATTTTCTCCCACACTCACCTTTTTATTCCCATCAACTTCTTTTTGGAAGTATAAACTCTTTTTCAAAAATTTAACATATCGAGGAACTTACTTGATTGCATCGAAGATGTTCACCTCAACCTTTCGAACTTCTCCAATATTTTCTTGTCTTTATATTCTTTCTTTGATTTAACAAATCTTTTTG